TTTTTTCCTTTATTTACCTCCCTCCTTCTTCCTCTTTTCTTCTGTCCTTTCCTTCCTTCCTTTTTCTTTCTCTTTTTTTCATTTCTTGTTTTTCTGTCTTTTTTCCTTTATTTACCTTTCTTCCTTCCTTCCTTCTTCCCTTTCATTCCCTTTTCTCCCTTCCTGTCCCTCCCTCCTTCCCTTTCTCCTCTTATTTTCCCTTTCTTTTCTTTTCCATAATTATTTTTCACGCTGATGACTTATTTTTTCCTTCCATTCCTTCCTTCCTCCACCCTCCCTCCCTTTCATTCCCTTCCCTTTTCTCCCCTCTATCCCTCCCTCCATTCCTTTCCTTCCTTCTCTCCCCTTTTTCCTTTCTTTTCTTTTCCATAATTATTTTTCACGCTGATGACTTATTTTTTCCTTCCATTCCTTCCTTCCTCCACCCTCCCTCCCTTTCATTCCCTTCCCTTTTCTCCCCTCTATCCCTCCCTCCATTCCTTTCCTTCCTTCTCTCCCCTTTTTCCTTTCTTTTCTTTTCTATAATTATTTTTCACACTAATGACTTATTTTCTCCTTCCTTCCTTCCTTCCTTCCTTCCCTCCCCTCCCCTCCCTCCTTCTTCCCTTTTCTCCATCCCTCCCTCTCCCTCCATTTGCCTTCCCTTTCTTCACCCTCCCTCCCTTTTCTTTATTGCTTTTTAAGTAATAACAAAAAAACTCCCAATCTTCAATCAAACAGTGAAATAGGATGAAGAGAATAACTAACATTAGGTAAGATAAATATCATGCAATCAGCCTTGATTGATGGGTACATTGAACAGCAGCTCATGTCCTCCTAAGCCCCCTCTAGCCCCCCCCCCCCAAATGCAGCCTGTGTCCACTCACCAAGTGGCGCCCGCTGCCCTCCGGCGGACCCACCACCAGCGAAGAGGAGGGAGGGAACGGCATGGCCGAAATGGAGCCCCCCTTCCGGATCTGGAAGGCCAAAAGAAGGGGGGATGGGTCAGCTGGGGTGGGCAGAGGGGAAATGCCCTGGTGGGGTGGGGGTCCTGGAAACCCCCCATAGGGAGCAGCCGAGGGGAGAAAGACACGCAAGGCAGCGCCTCTTCCGTCTCCTCCAAAAACTCGCTTACTCGGTAAATGTTGGGTTGGCTGTGGGCGGAATACATCCCATCTTCCTCCGATTCCTGGAAGCGTGAAAACAGGCCAAGAGGTGTGTGTTAGGTCACACTTTTCCCTGAGCTACGCACACTTATTGCACGCTTCTTCCCAATCTGTGCAACAACGGCCCCCTGCCATTTTTCCTCCTTCAAAAACTTTGCTTTTGTCCCCTGCTAAAAAGCCGCTTAGACTCACATGTTGGGCTCAAACACCCCCCCCCCCAGGACTGGGAGGGCCACGATATGCACACAGACACTCACCCCAGGGTGGAAGGGCTGCAGGCGGCTAACCAGGTCATCCATGGGCGGCTGGCTGAAGGGCTTGAGTGGGCTGGCGCCCGGCTCGTACATGGAGAAGGCGTGGCGGTCGCGCCGGTGGGCTCCCGTTACGGCGGAGGGCACGTGGCCGTGCTCGGGGCGCTCGGTGGGGGTGGGGGCTGCTGGGTGGACGGGCCCCGCCTGCTGACGGATCTGCAGGTTCTCCGACTGCAGCTTGTGAATCTGAAGGAATTCACAAGAATCACAAGAATTTATAAGAATTCATAAGAATCACAAGAATTCACAAAAATCACAAGAATTCATAAGAATTGCCAGCATTCGTAAGAATTCATAAGAATCACAAGTTCATAAGAATCACAAGAATTCATAAGAATCACAAGAATTTATAAGAATTCATAAGAATCACAAGAATTCATAAAAATCACAAGAATTCATAAGAATCACCAGAATTTATAAGAATTCATAAGAATCACAAGAATTCACAAAAATCACAAGAATTCATAAGAATTGCCAGCATTCGTAAGAATTCATAAGAATCACAAGTTCATAAGAATCACAAGAATTCATAAGAATCACAAGAATTTATAAGAATTCATAAGAATCACCAGAATTCATAAAAATCACAAGAATTCATAAGAATCACCAGAATTTATAAGAATTCATAAGAATCACAAGAATTCATAAAAATCACAAGAATTCATAAAAATCACAAGAATTCATAAGAATCACCAGAATTTATAAGAATTCATAAGAATCACAAGAATTCATAAGAATCGCCGGAATTCATA